AAGCACTAATAGATAGTTTAAGTACAAGAGGTGTCAGGGAGAGTGAACTTAAAAATAATCTTTTACAAGAGATGGACAATTTGCTTCTCGTTATTGATGAATGTCCTAAATATAGACTAAATCCTGAAGTTGTAAGTTTATTTTTGTATTGTATAGTTTATTAAAGAGTATGTTACCTACATATACTAAGTATATGTATATATAAAATTTTTTATGCATGATTAAAGTATGGAAAGTAATTGGATGTTGTATGTAGTTTTCAGATTCCAATAAAGGACAAATCAGCAAAACAGTTAAAAAAAATAAATATGAAAACGCGAACTTGAACTTTCCTCCTGATATGTCTATCAATGACGTAATGGAATTAACTTTGAGAGATCATATTTTGGACTTTGAAGACAAAATTAATGCAGGTTGTTTAGGATGTCTTAAAATTATTGATCGTACTGTCTGGAGGAATGCGATCAATCAGAGAGGTTACGACAAACAGTGTGACAAATTAATGTGCGCCGGTAGTGAGATAGATATGGATGCACCACCTAATGCTTTTATAGACAAGATAAAGAACGAGTTTAAACATAGTAGACCCGGTACCCCCGATTCCGAGGTTGGAAGTATTAGCATAAAGACTTATAAGGATCCAGGAATGTATTTAGGTGTACCTGGTGAGGATGAAATGATGCCCGACCAAAGGCAACAAGCGACTATCAAACAATTAGCTTGTTCCATTTTGCAATTATCTCACGCTATAGAACAGAGGTACTTACAGAAACCACTAGGACCCGATCAAAAAGACAAAAAATGGTCGGGTGAGGAGGCACGAGAGAGATGGGAACAATCATTGATAGCGTCTACGAACTGGTCACAGTTGTTCGTTCACTTAAGTACTTTGCACAATAGCGTCGCGTGGGACAGAAGCGCGTTAAATGCTCAGTGTCGTATATGTCGAAGGCGTAGGGATGCGGAGAACATGTTGCTTTGCGATGGATGCAATAGAGGACATCACCTCTATTGTCTGAAACCAAAACTTACTGTAATAAATAAGTTCATTATATTCATGCTTCCACAATGATTGACTAAGTTATCACCATATTATTTTCTTGTTATTTTTTACAGGCTGTACCAGCAGGAGATTGGTTTTGTACGGCATGCAGACCACCGGAAATAAAACCCAAAGAAAAGACTCAAAAGCGGAAAAGATTCGAGGATGAGATCGAAGAAGAGACGATGTTAACCAAAGAGACGCGACAAAATCGCGCAAAGCGCATACCGCACAGTGACGACGAGGGTGACCAAGAGAGTGACAATGAAGATGAAGAAAGCGAAGAAGACATGTAAGTTATCTTTCCGTAGCATTAAAATTTTACATTAGCTTAATATTCCTAATAATGTTTATTTGCTTTCTTCTGTCATTTTAGAAATATACGATTAGAAAACTTATGCGCATCGTGTAAAAATGGTGGAAAATTGATTGCTTGTGATACATGTCCAAATCGTTTTCACTTAGAATGCGTAGAACCGCCATTGTCGAGAGCTCCTAGAGGCAGATGGTCTTGCACCATATGCAAGAATAAAAAAAAGAACGCGACAAAAGGTAATGAAGAAATAATAACGGAACAATACGGACGAAAATGTCTTAAGGGTTTATTCTTCTGTTATAACTTAAGAAAAAAAGTTTTCGCGTTTAACATAGATGAAATTATTAGACAAGTTGATATAAAAATATTATAAGAAAAAGTTTCTTAGTGTTAAAATTATGTTGATAGTGAGGGGGTATGAAAGAGAAAGAAACAAGGAGAGGTTGTGCGCAGCAGCAGCACGCTCTCGCATCCATGGCTTTGCTAAGAGCCTCCTCACTACTGAATCTACAGACTGGGAC